CATAACTCTTGTTTCTTGTGTAACAGTTCAAAACTCCGATGTGTATCCAGTATTTTTTCCTAACCAGTTTTCCCCCTGTAGTTTTGAATCAGGGATGCATTGTGGAGCAGGGAGGAACTCTGGGCTACTCTTAGAGGATTCACACTTGCCCTGGGGATTCTTGACTTGCTCTGGGAGCTTCTGCTCTGGGGCACTGGAGATGTCATTTCTGCTGTGGCCTCCTTCCCCCATTAAAAAAGCAGGTTTGAATTGTCCTCTTGGCATCACCTAAATCAGCTATTACGTTACAATTAGAGAACACATCCCAGTCCTATGGAAGAACATCCTAATCTTTTCTCTTTATTGAATGAATGAGCCCCCTACTTCAGGAACTAGATTCCAGAACCCTCATCAGCTCCAGGCTTCTGTCTTAATCAAGTTCTATCTAGTTACAGCTATTTGCAGAACAAACTCTGCCTTGGAATTTTAGCTTATAAAGTAGATGGCAAGGTACTCATTGTTGTCCAGGATGCTCATGGACCAAGAGACTTTATCTCCCTTTTTTCTTACACAACATTTTTTTTTAAAAGATTTTTGAAATTTAACTTTTTATTATGAAATAATTGTAGGTTCACATGCAGTTGTAAGAAACGATGCAGGGAGATCACATGTACCCTTTCCACAATTTTTCCGTGGTAATGTCTTCTAAAAGTATAGCAAAATGTTACAACCATATCCTGACATTGATATAATCCACCAGTCTTATTCAGCTCTTCCCAGGGTGTGTGCATGTGTGTGTTTAGTTCTATGTAATTTTTATCATACACATAGGTTTGTGTATCCATCACCACAGGAAAAGATACAGAAGAAACCCATTACCACATACTTTTGTCCCACTCCTCCCCACCCCTAACCCCTGCAACCACTAATCTATCTTCATTACTATAATTTTGTAATTTCAAGAACGTTATTATATAAAGGGAAACATCCTGTATGTAACCTTTTGGGATTATCTTTTTTTATTCAGTACGATTCACTTGAAATTCACCTAAATTGTCACATGTTTCAAGAGCTGGTTCTATTTTACTGCTGAGCAGGTTTGTTTGTTTGTTTTTGCTTTAACCATTTACCTATTGAAGGTTGTTTCCAGCTTCTGTTTATTACAAGTAAAGCTGCTTATGAATGTTTGTGTCTAGGTTTTGTGTAAACATAAGTTTCCATTTCTCTGAGATAAATGCCCAACAGTGGAATTGCTAGTCATATGGTAATTGTATGTTTAGATTTATGAAAAACTGCCTACGTGTATTCCAGGGTGGCTGTACCATTCTGCATACCTGCCAGCAATGTATGAGTGATCCATTTTCTTTGCATCCTTACCTGCATTCAATGTCAGTTATTGTATTTTACTCTTCTGATAGGTGTATAATGAGATCTCATTGTGGTTTTAATTTACGTTATCCTAATAGCTAATGAACATCTCTTCATGTACTTATTTTCCATCTGTATATTCTTTTTGTAAAATGTCTTTTGCCTATTTTCTATTTGCATTTTTAAAAAACTATTTGAGATTTGAGAGTTCCTTTTTCTAGGTACTGCTTCTTTGTTGGGTATATAGTTTGGAAATATTTTCTTCCAATCTGTAGCTTGTCTTTTCATCCTTTAAATGGGTCTCTTGCAAAGCAAAAGCAAAAGTTCTTATTTTGGTGCAGCTCTTTTACTCAGTTTTTCCTTTTGTACATCATTATGCTCTTGACACCAAGTCTAAGAACCCTTGGCCTAGCCCTAGATTCCAAATATTTTCTCCTGTTTTTTTTTTTTTAATTTTCTAAAAGTGTTATAGTTTTATGCTTTACATTTAAGTCTTCAATCCATTAATTTCTCTATAAGATAAAAGATACAAGGTTTAGGTTGATTGGAAAGGGGGTGGAGCTACAGATGTATAATTGCTCCAGTTCCCCGAAAAGAGTATCCTTCCTTTATTGGATTTTCTTTGGAACTTTGTAAAATGTTAGCTGGGTTTATTTGTGTGGGAAGAGGGAATTTTTAACAATGTGAAAAAGTACAGTATAACATGACAAACTACTGTGTTCCCATCACCAGAATTGCTACTGACCGTTTTTAATATTTTGTCATATGTTTTATCTTTTTTCTATTGTATGTAAGAAAGTATTGTGAAGTTGAAATGCCTTCTAATCCTCACCATAAATTCTCATTCCCAGAAGCAATCCCTAATATGAATATGGCATGTTTCTTTCCAGTCCATTTTGTTTACACTGTCCCATATATGTTTGTACTTGTTAACAACATATAGAATATTATTTTATATCAGTAGTCTTTGTAATTAATTTCTTTGCTTTAATCTACACACACACACACACAAATAATATTTTTCAAAATAGTACCAAAGAAAAAAAGCAGTGACAAAATAAACAGCAATCTCCTTCCTTAACCTCAGTTCCACTCCCCTGGTCATCCATTTTCATGCATGTTTCTTCTGGTATTTCTTCCATAAATCTAAATAAAATGCTTAAAATACTTCTATTAATTTTTACAGTAGATAAACATTTAATGCCTATACTCTGTCTCCAGCTCCTTTTGACTGTCATAATTTTTTATAAAGTCAGTGTTTACATTATTATGACTGTAAATTTTCATTTTATTACTGCAGAGCTAAATGGGCTTCTATGGCATGATCAAACATATTAAATCTTTTTCTTAAAAAAAATATTTTAGAGAAGGGGAAGGGAGGAAGAGGAGAGCAACATCAATGTGTGGCTGCCTCTCGAGCACCCCCTACTGGGGACCTGGTCTGTAATGCAGGCATGTGCCCTGACTAGGAATCGAACCAGTGACCCTTTGGTTTGCAGGCCGGGGCCCAAACATATTAAATCTTTATCAATCCATTTTTTGTTCTGGAGTTAGTGGTCTTATGTTTTTATTTGCTTTTAGTTTTTTATGTTCCTATCCTTATGTTTTTCTATGATTAACTGTTTTAAAATGTCACAATGATGTGCCTTCGTGTGGGTCCTCCTTTTCATTCATTTTGTTAGGTGCATAATAGGTTCTTTTACTCTGAAGGTTTGTGTTCTTTAGTGATAGGACTTTCTGTAACTTTTCTTTTTTCCATTCTTCTTTCCTTGTATTATGCCAATTCTTTCTGGAATGGTCCTGTCAGTCTATTTGGATTTCCTATAGCAGAGTTGTCACACTTTTTCTTAAAGGGCAAGATGGTAAATACTTAGGCTTATGGGTCTTTATAATCTTTGTTGCAAGCACTCAACTTTACCATTGTAATGTGAAAGCCATCACACAGACAGTGCTAAACTGGTAGGCCTCACTGTGTTCCAATAAAACTTTTGTTTATAAAAACAGGTAGCCAAGCCAAAGTTTGCCAAGACCTATCTAGAATGATGCTCTTATCTTCCATATTTTTTTTCAATTTGACTTTTTGTTCTGTATTCTGGGAAATTTCTTCAACTTGCTCTTTAGTTTTTTCTATTAAATAAGATATAATTTTTAATTTCTAAGAGCTTTTCTTCTCTGTTCCTTCTTCATAGCATCCCTAGTCTTATTTCATGTATGCAATATCTTTTTCTCTTTGAGGTTATTAATTAAAGACTTTTAATTACAGCCTTCATTAACTCTCTTTTGTGCTTTTTTCCCCCCTGAGTATTTGAATTGGGTCTCCTTTGTGTTAAGGGCTTTCTTTAATTTTCTGGAAATCCTTTGCTGTTAGTTCACACTTAGGAGTGGGGTCCTCAAAAGCTGTTTAGGAGCAGTGTTAGCATGAGTGAGTTTCAAATAAAAATGACCAGCTAGCTTGTTGTTGATGTACTCTAACTGACAGAATTCTTTTATGTAGAGCTATTTACTTCCTCCACTCTTTTGCCTGGTAGGGTCCAAGCCTGGATAGGAGTTTAAGACAGTGTAGGACAAGGGGAATTGGGCAGGGTATTCACACTGCCTGTCCTTCAGATTTTTATTTATTCCTCTGTTTTAGCCCTGTGCCTTGCCTTGCCTCCCAGGATGTGGGATTTCTAGGGGTGAGTCATTTTGTCTGGCTGTAGGTACCTCTGTGGATCCTAGCTTTCTGTCATCGGCCAAGTCAGCCAGAATCCTTTTGATATCTCTCTGCCCAAATGGGTTTAATTCTTTTGATCCACTTTTGGGTTTGTACTGATTAGGTCTTTTTTTTTTTTTTTTTTTAATTTTAATGAGGCTGCTGGATGGAGTGGTATCAAACGTGTGTTTCAGCTGTGGCTGGTGTGGCTCAGTGGATTGAACACTGACCGGCCTGCAAACCAAAGGGTCAGCAATTCACTTCCCAGTCAGGGCATATGCCCTAGGTTGCGGACCAGGTCCCCAGTGGTGAGCAACCACACATTCATGTTTCCCTCTCTCCCTCTCTTCCCCTCTTTCTAAAAATAAATAAATAAAATCTTTAAAAAACCCAAACATACATGTGTTTCAACCTACTATGTTAATCTGGAACTTAAGAGATTTATTTTTAACGTCTTTTGGGAAATGAGTAGCAGAAAATTCTATTTATTTGTTTATTTATTTATTTATTTTTAGAGAGAGGGGAAGGGAGGGAGAAAAAGAGGGAGAGAAACATCAATGTTCAAGAGATAAATCTATGAATTATCTCTCGCAACTCAGGCATGCTCCCTGACTTGGAATCGAACCAGTGACCCTTTAGTTCACAGGCCGGCACTCAATCCACTGAGTCACACCAGCCAGGGCAATAGTAGAAATTTTAATTGCAGCTAAATTTTATTGGTGCTGTACCTCTATTTCTTTCTTTTCCTTTTTTTGAATGGAAATATTTCCATATTAATACATACTTATTAAAAATATTAAGTGATATGGAATTACGTAGTCTAGATAATGAAAAGCTCTATGTACCCACCCCTGACAGTAACTGACACCTACCTTCGCACTGCCAGGCTCTGTACATAACATACACACTGCCTCCACTTTTTCTTTCTTTTTGTTTTACTGGTTTGTTTCATTTTCTTCAGGTCTCCGGGAAACCTCGAGAAGAACCGCTATGGGGATGTACCCTGCCTGGACCAAACAAGAGTGAAGCTGATAAAACGAAGTGGCCACACTCAGGTAGACAGATAAATGCCATCTTCTCAGGAGCACTGAGGGAAATTTAAGCCTCTTACAAAGTGTAGCTTACTAATGCTGTAGTTGAAAGAACATGGATTCTCAGCCAAAGAGACACTGTTTAATATTGCTACAAACTAGTCTATTGTTATCATAGGGAAGTCCCTACATGCCCATCTGGTAGCACAAGGTCTGGTATGTTGTAAGTGCCCAATAAATGTTCAGTTATTTTTCCTTTTACTTCTCAGTTGTACAATCATAGTCCTATCATTAACCATATTGGTGAGTGTATACGCATCAATACAAGGCAACTCTGATTGTACAACTCTGATTTTTCCATTTAGAAGATTTGAAAAAAAAATTTGGTCAGCTAGTGTATACATAAATATCTAGAGATAGGGATGAGATGGTCAAATGATTTTATTATTGAATATATTAATTTGATCATATCTGTACATATTAAAAATCACATATATTAGAGATATTTAGTGAAAATGTTATTCAGACATTTAACATCAGTATTTGTGTCATCCTTTGGATCTTTTTTTTTTAAGATTTTATTTACTCATTTTTTAGAGAGAGGAAGGGAAGGAGAAAGAGATGGAGAAAAACATTGATGTGTGAAGGATAACATCAGTTAGCTGCCTCTCACATGCCCCCAACTGGGGACCTGGCCCACAACCCAGGCATTAGCCCTAATTGGGAATTGAACCAGTGACCTTTTGGTTTGCAGGCTGGCACTTAATCCACTGAGCCACTCCAGCAAGGGCATTTTTTTTAAGTATATTTTATTGACTATGCTATCACAGTTGTCCCATTTTATTTCTCCCCTAAGCCCCCTCCACCTTCCACAACACCCAGCATTCCCCCACTTAGTTAATGTCCATGGGTTATACGTGTAAGTGCTTTGGCTTCTCCATTGCCTACACTATTCCTATCCTCCCCCCATCTTGCTTTGTACCTGCCATTTATGCTTCTTATTCCCCATTCTACTCCCACCCTGCTGATAACCCTCCCTGAGATGTCCATTACTGTGATTCTGTTCCTGTTCTAGTTTGCTTAGTTTGTTTTTGTTTTTTAGTTTCAGTTGTTGATAGTTGTGACTTTGTTATTATTTTACTGTTCATAGTTTTGATCTCCTTCTTCTTAGATAAGTCCCTTTAACATTTCATATCATAATAAGGGCTTGGTGATGAGGAACTCCTTTAACTTGACTTTATCTGGAAAGCACTTGATCTGCCCTTCCATTCTAAATGATAGCTTTGCTGTATAGAGTAATCTTGGATGTAGGTCCTTGCCTTTCATGACTTTGAATACTTCTTTCTTGCCCCTTCTTGCCTGTAAGGTTTCTTTTGAGAAATCAGCTCATAGTCTTATGGGAACTCCTTTGTAGGTAACTCTCACCTTTTCTCTTGCTGCTTTTAAGATTCTCTCCTTATCTTTAACCTTGGGTAATTTAATTATGGTGTGTCTTGGAGTGTTCCTCCTTGGGTCCAATTTTTTTGGGGACTCTCTGAGCTTCCTGGACTTACATGTCCATTTCCTTGACCAAATTGGGGAAATTTTCTTTCATTATTTTTTCAAATAAGTTTTCAATTTCTTGCTCTTCCTCTTCTCCTTCTGGCTCCCCCTATGACTCGGATGTTGGAACATTTAAAGCTGTCCCAGAGGTTCCTAAGCCTCCTCATTTTTTGAATTCTTGTTTCTTCATTCTGTTCCAGTTGAATGTTTATTTCTTCCTTCTGTACCAAATCATTTATTTGAGTTCTGATTTCCTTCCCTTTACTGTTGTTTCCCTGTATATTTTTCTTTATTTCACTTTGTATAGCCTTCACTTCTTCCTTTACTTTGTGTCCGTACTCAATCATTTCTGTGAGCATCCTGATTACCAGTGTTTTGAATCCTGCATCTGATAGGTTGGCTATCTCCTTGTCACTTAGTTCTTTTCCTGGAGTTTTGACCTTCCATTTGGGCTGCATTTCTTTGTCTTGGTGCACCTGTTATTTGTAAGGGGTGGAGCCTTAGGTATTCACCAGGGCGGGGCAACCCACTTGGCTGTGTTGTGGCACTGTGTTGGGGGGAGGGGTCAGAGAGGGAATAATGCCACTTGCTCAGCTCTCACCCCACTTTCAGTCACTTCCCCTGCTACCTATAAGCTAATTGGGTCAATTCAGGTGCTGCCCTGGTGCTGACTCCTGGATGAGTGAGTTCTAGGATCCTGTGGGCCCCTCCAACAGACTCTCCTGTGAAACTGGGAGTTCCCCCCACTGCCTCAATGCCTACAGGTTTTTACAGCCAGGCATTTTGAGGTTTTAGTTTCCCACACTGGAACCCTGTGTTGCACATCTATGTTGCTCCCCAGTTTTTCCTCCTGGCTTATCTGCTTGTGAATGTGGAACCAGCCAGTCCACCGTCCTCCACCTTGCTATGCATCCCCTTCGCCCTGCCTGCCCGTCTCCGCCCTTCCTATTGGTCTGGATGAACGTTTCTTCTTTAACTCCTTGGTTGTCAGGCTTCCATATGGTTTGATTTTCTGGTAGTTCTGGTTGTTTTTTGTTTTTAAATTGGTGGTTATCCTTCTTTTGGTTGTGAGAGGAAACAAGGTGTATCTACCTACACCTCCATCTTGGCCAGAAACCCAGGGCCTCTTGGATATACTTTTTGAGTCTTATAACAAAGGACATTGATTTTATTTCCTTTTAAGGACATGGTGTTGTCACTGGAAGGCTTATTCAAAGCCAAAAAACTCTATTACCATAACATGAGCACAGTTTTTCCTTTTTTTAAAAAAAAAGATTTTATTTATTTATTTTTAGAGAGAGTGAAAGGGAGAAAGAAACAGAGGTAGTGAAACATCGAAGTACAAGAGAAACGTTGATGGGTTGCCTCTCAAATGCCCCCAACGGGACACCCAGCCCACAATGCAGGCATGCGTCCTGATTGGAAATTGAACTCGTGACCTTTTGGTTCGCAGGCCAGTACTCAGTCCACTGAGTCACACCAGCCAGACAGCACAGTTTTTGCTTTTTATTCATCCTATACCTCATGCATTGTCTATAGCATAATCATTCACTTATTCCTTTTTAAAGTCCTCCTTAATATAACTTGTATACAGCAACATCCAACACTTAAAATTTTGAGGTCAACATCTAGAAAAGTATTACATATTTTTCTTTTTCCTTCTGATATACCGGTTCTGTTTACTTTTATATACATTATAAAAGCAGCATTGGGCACTAACCAACTGTGTATCAGTTGGTTAGAGCTTTGTCCTGATATACCAAGGTTGCAAGTTTCATTACCTGTCAGGGCACATAAAAGAATCAGCCAATGAATGCATAAATAAATGGAACAACAAAATCGATACCTCCCCCCGCCCTCCTTTTCCCTCTCTAAAATAAATTTTAAAATTATAAAAAAACAGCATTGATTGAGGTTCAGAGTAAAGGAATTTAAATAGGTCTCTTAACTTTAACATGAACCACATTATAGGGAATTGTTATATCCTCTCTCCTGTTTCTGTGGGGTAAGTTTTAGGAATAGCACTTCTTTCTATATGGTGCATAGATCAGGACCTTAGGTTTCATTCTCTTTTGATGCTGTTTCAAGCATGTAAACTGAATTTCTGTCCAGGACCGTTACAGAGGGTTTTCCTCAGGAGCATTAGCTAAGAGTCTGGCTGACTGAGGGCAAATTTATCAGTATTATTGAGGTTGTCATAGTATATTCTGTGACCTATTGGAGTATAATGGTTAAGTTGGTGTTCTGGAGTCAGAGATATCTGTGTTTATCTGTCTTGTTGAGTGTTCTCTCTCCATTACTTAGAACAGTGCCTGGCACATACCAGACATTCATTATGTTCCAGGAATGAGTGAATCCCAGTATACCAGGAGACTGTTACAGTTATCCAGTAATTAATCTGAAGACCGTCACTTGAGTTATAGTCCTTCTCATTACTATAAACATTGGCAGAGGCTTTATTTTCATAATAAATGGAGGATTCAAGTTTATTAATGAATTGTTCATCAGATTTGCTCCTGGAATTATAAAGCTGTTAGTCATTGAATATTCAGATAGTAATAGAGTCTGAGTGTGTGGCCCATGCTGTTGATGGTAGATACGAGGTATAGTTTTCTTCCTTCTTAAGTCACACTTTACCTTTTATGTAATAGCAACATTGATGAGGTGTCCTGATCAATTTGGTAGGCTTGCCTCCCTTTTGATTCTAAGCTACAGTCCTGAAAGCCTTAATGGATTCCCTTTTTTGTAAATAACAGCTTTATTAATGTATAATTGATGTACCATACGATTTACCCATTTACAGTGTATAAATCAATGGTTTTTTAAATGTTTTTGGCAAGTTGTGCAGTCATGACCACAGTCAACTTTAGAAAATTTTTATAAACTGAAAAACAAACTCCACTTTCCCAAGTAGAAGTGCTAGGTCTTTTGATAACTGTGTATAACATCCTGAGGTCCTGTCAGACTCTTCCACAGTGACTGCACTATTTTATATTCCTGCCAGCAATGAATAAGGGTTTCAGAATTTCTCCACATGTTTGCCAACCTGTTATCTTTTACCTTTAGCCATCCTAATGGGTGTGAAACAGTATCTCATCGTGGTTTTAACCTGCATTTCCTTGATGGCTAATGATGTTAAACATCTTTCATGTGCTTGTGGACCATTTGTACATCTTCTTTGGAGAAATGGTTATTTTAAAATTGGGTTGTATTTTTACCATGGAGTTGTGAGATTTCTTTATATAGTCTAGAAACAAATCTGTTATCAAATACATGCATTCTACAGGTGTCTTCACTTTCTTGATTGTATCATTTGAAGCATAAAAGTTTTAATGTAGTTGCATTTATCTGTTTTTTCTTTTGTTGCTTGTGCTTTGAGATCATATCTAACAAGGCCATGCTTAACTCAATGTCAAAAAGATTTAATTGATGTCAAAAAGATTTAATCCTATATATTCCTCTTAAGAATTTTTTAGTTTTAGCTCTTACATTAGGCCTGTGACACATTTTGAGTTACCATATTCTACCATATATAATGCTCATCCACGTTTTTGGCCCAAAGTTTCAGGAAAAAAATCTTTCATTTTAATGTTTTAATTCGTTTTAATTTATATTTAGAAACAAAACCTATTCTCGTATTTCAGGGTATTATTTTGCATACGGATATCGTTATTGCTTTCTAGAGTTACACTTTTAACGCGTGAGCATAAAAAGAATTAAAAACATTTATATAGATATGAAATTAGTACTACCTATGTATGATGTTCATCCTTATTTTTCCCTCAAAAATTCTGGCAAGAAAGTATGCGTTATACACTGCAAAATATGCTAGTTTTTGTGTATTGTGTGAGGAAGGAGTCAGCTTGATTTTTTCCCCCCCTGCATGTGGCTATCCAGTTGTTCCAGCAGCATTTGTGGAAGTTGAGGTTTTAAATTGGCCCTTTTGCTTCTCTTTTCTTTTTTTCTGATGAGAAGAGACTATCCATACCCTGGGTTTTATTTATCTACTAGTACATCATTTTCCCACCCAAGTGGTATATTCCACACAGCTGCAATGATGTTTCCTTTTTATCATTAGACAGATTATATCAACGCCAGTTTCATGGATGGCTACAAGCAGAAGAATGCTTACATTGGTACACAAGGTAAGTTAGTCTGCCCCCCACAAGTTGGTTTTGAGTCATCTACTTGTGATTCTTCCACCAGATGATAGCATAAGTTTTAAAGAAAATGGTTACTTAATGTGATGCTGTGGCCACTATATTTTGGCCTTTCCTAAAGATTAGGGGTTATTGAGGAAGGCAGTTGAGAAGTACAGAGTTTCTGTATCACATGTACCTGGAAACTCACTGCATGGAGATAAACTGGAGATTTGAACACACAACATTAGTACAAGTTTTTGGACCGCGTGTTATATTGCCATCCTAAAGGGATGGGAAATGAGAACTCATTAGCTAGTGAGGTGCTCATTATGGCTAGTAGGAGGACAGGAGTGGCAGTGGAACTGCCCAGAAACTGAGTCCAATCTGTGAATGGGTGTTGCTGTACTAAGAGGCTTTGCTGATCCCTGTACCATCACAGGGAACCTCAGCAGTCTTCCGACATGGATTGTCTGTGCTAGATCTGACAGTGTAGTACTGGGCTCTAGGAGGATTTCATATGGAGTTTTTATAAGTGTTGCTGCAGGCTCAGTACTCCTGACCTGGCCTCTGCCATCTCAAGGAGAATATTAGATTGTCTTCTAACAGGGTGGAAAAAAATCACAACACAGGACATAACAGCCTCCTATGTGGGCTTAAGGCCTTTTGACCATTACAGACTGTGGCTAGCAAAAGATCTGGTGAATATTCCCTTAATCAAGTAAATGATCAAACTTAGTATCACTGTAATGGACAAACATATTAATATGACTCCTGCTGTGAAAGATTGAGAACTGTACCATATAACCTATGTTGTATGTTGCCAGTTTTTAAGTATGAATCTAATTATGAGAAACAAACCAAACAAATCCAGATCCTGGGACATACAGTAAGAAAACTTGCTTAAACTCTCCCACTTTAATGCCATTAAAAAGTTTTAAAAAGAGCCCTGGCTGGTGTGGCTCAGTGGATTGAGCGCCGACCTGTGAACCAAAGGGTCACTGGTTCAATTCCCAGTGTAGGGCGCATGCCTGGGTTGTGGGCCAGGTCCCCAGTAGGGGGTGCATGAGAGGCAACCACACATTGTTGTTTCTCTCCCTCTCTTTTTCCTTTCTTTCCCCCTCTAAAAATAAATAAATAAAAACCTTAAAAAAGAGAAAAAAATTTAAAAAGAGAACTGTTCTAGATTAAAGGAGACTGAAGAGACATGATAACCAAAGGTAGTATGTCATCCATGATTCAAACCTGCATTTGGAGGATCAAACAGTTAAGGACAAACTATTGGGACAATTGGAGACTATGCATTAGATAATATTATTGTATCATTGTTTAATTGCTTAAGCATGATAATGATATTGTTCTGTAGGAGAATGTCTTTGTTCTTCTAAATATGTATTTGAGTTTTTAGGAGCAAAGTGTCATGATGTCTGAAATTTACTTTTTTTTCTTTTTCAAATTATAAGGGAAAGTTTATTAAGAAATTTACAGATGTAGTAGAAGTGAGCCACTTGGGCTGCATAGGCTAAAGAAACAAGTTACAGAGGCAAGAAGAAAGGGCCCTTGGCGGGGCTGTTGGAGCTTAGGGTGGGGGGGAGGCAAAGGTAACACGTCTCAGGGAAGAAGAGGGGAAGGGAAAAGTGATGGCATGCTCCTGAGAGGGAGAGTGCATCGAAACTTACTTTTATTTTTCTATTTATTTGACCAAAAATAAAGTTTTTATTTCTGGGAGTTAGAATTACATCTTTATTTTTTTCTTTATTCTTTATCATATTTTCCAAATAAGTGAAACTTCTAAATAGTTCAGTAAAAAATAAAATACATGTGTATGTATGCAGTAGTGTCCCTTTATCTGCAGTTTTGTTTTCTGCAGTTTCAGGTACCCATGGTCACCTGTATTTCAAAAATGTTAAATGGAAAGTTCCAGAAATAAACAATTCATAAGTTTTAAATTGCATGCTGTTCTGAGTAGTGTGATGAAATCTAGCACTGCCCCCCTCTCTCCCACCTGAGATGTGAATCAACCCTTTGTGCAGTATGTCCACACTGTTTATGCTTCCTGTCTATTAGTCAGTTAGTAGCCATCTAAGTTATCAGATTGACTGTCACAGTATCACAGTGCGTATGTTCAAGTCACCCTTACATTAGCCTAACGCTCTGGCACAATGCCTGCATCTTTCACCTCACTTCATCTCCTCACATAGGCATTGTATCGTCTCACATCATCACAAGAAAAGAGTGAGTAGGATACAATGAGGTATTTTCAAGATAGACCACATTCACATAACTTTTATTACAGTATATTATTAAAATTGTTCTATTTTATTAATTATTGTTAAACTCTTACTACTGTGCCTAACTTATGAATTATATATCATGTATGTATGGGAAAAAAGTGTGTGTGTGTGTGTGTGTGTGTGTGTGTGTGTGTGTGTGTGTGGTTTGGTACTGGTTTTAGGCATTCACTAGGGGTCTTGGAACATATCCCCTGCAAATAAGGGGGGACTATTTTATAGAGATAAGCAAACGTCACAAAATGATAGCTAATATTGATAGCTTTTGAACTAAAGAATGTAAGAATATACTGTACTATTCTTTCAACTTTTTGTTAGATTCAATTTTTTCAAAATAATAATTGAGGGAGACAAAAGGGAAAAGGGCCTTTGGATTCTTGGTACATTGTTAATTGGTCTTATGGTCACAGGTTTATGTTTTTCCTCTAGGAGGGACAACTCCCTCCAAAAGGAGTTCTCTCAAGACCCTAAGAAGAAACAACAGAACTATCAGGAAGGATTTTTGGCAGGTATAGGATATGATGTGATCTGCTTAAGAGGGTAGGGCTTTTGTTGAGGAGGATAGTCTTGGAATGGCTGGGCCTATAAGGCATAAGGATTGGCTTTAGGGGGCCTCATAATGCTTCTTTCTCCAGGTTTAGAAGGCAAGGGCACTACTTAGCATTGCTAATTATGCAAGGGTTGTGCCCTTTAGGCTGGTGCTGTAGGCTCTGTCCAGAAGAAACTCTTCTAGGAATATGGGACAGAGGGTTTCTTGAGCCAAACACAGATTACCTTTAGAAGGTGCAAGCGCCAGAAGATGGGGGCCCTGTGATATTGAGAAGGCTGGTTTGATTTATCTGGCTAACCTTCTTGACTATATTTATAGTATTCTGATTCTTAATCATCGTAATATGTATAATAATAATTATCTTGTCTATTAAGAGTATGTATTATATATCAGGTACAGAATCTCCATCTAATTATTATTCTCTGCAAGGAAGTTTTGTTTTGTTAATCCATGAACAAATTGAAGCCCAAAAAGCTTAGGTGACCTTGTATCACACAGCTAGTTAAGTGGCTAGTAAGCCAGAATTTGAAAGTATGTTTGGGTCAAAAATCCTAGCAAGGCAAGTCAGTGGTTTTACCCATGTCAGTACAAACTGGTGACTATTTCTTTGAAAAGTCTACTGTTGAAGGAGTCTTATGTAGGGAGTGCCACTTTTCCTTCCAAATCTCTCGTGCCTTTGAGGAAATTATGACCTCTGCCTGGCCTGAATTTGAGTGGTATCTGGATTATCAGGTGCTCTGATAGGCAACACCAATTTGTCAGTGGTTTGACTGTGGAAAGGTAAGTACCTGAGAGGTGCTGTGGTGCAAGGTGGTGGGGTGTGGATAAACCTAGAGGCAGAGTTGGGGCAAGGGTATTCTTATATTCTCCTTGATATGCATATTATGGTAACACTGTCCATTAAATGAAGATGAAAATCACTTATAACCGTGAGACACAGAGATAATATTAACATCTTGCAGGATCTCTTTCTAAACCTCTTTCTATGCATATAAATAGGGACAGACATATAAAATATGTAACAAAATGGGCTCTTTCCATACATTATCTCCTTTTTCACTTGATGGTATCTCGTGCATATCTTTCAAGAGCAAAAAGTACGGACCTTATAATAATTATCATACAGACTTTAAATTAGGGGTATACAATAACTTAATCCTCTGTTGTTAGATATTTAGCTTGTTTTCAAGACCTCACATGCTTTTGGAAGTGTCCACTTCTGCACAGAGGAAATTCTAGTATCATAAAGTGTTAGTGCTTGCTAAAAAGGCTTTAGCAAAAATGGTAGTGAAACCAGCAAACTTCCAGGACAAAAATCAACTCTCAGTGCTTCCCTGTTTCCCTGTAGGCAGTGGAGGAAAAAAACACTGGAAAACTACAAGGAGTTATCCTGAATTGTTACTCCCTTGATCGAAGGGGAGTTGTTGGCCCACAAATATCTTCAGAGTTCCCACTGAGTGCCTATGCTGTGCAGATTCTAACATAGAAGAACTTGACACCATGGCCCTTATAGTCAGCACCATGTTTGCTGAGATGTGATTAATTCTCACAAAGTAAAATGACTGATGTAAAACCATATATATTATATGGTTAAGCTGTTTTGATCTAGCTATGCCATCAAAACCTGAGGAGAGGAAATCCTACAAGGGGTGTGGTAGTCAGAAAGTTTTAAGGAAGAGACAGCACTTGAAAATGAGTAGAAAATGAACAGCACTGGAAGTGAGAGAGATGGCTTGAGTAAAGGATAGAAGCAGAAGTAAGCATGATTTGTCTATATTGTGATGAAGCAATTTTTTAGAAAGATTAAAACTGGCAGGGGTATCCAGAATAGACTGGAAGAGAAAGTCCTATTCAGAAAAGTAAGCCAAGATGAGTAAAGTAACTCAGAGGAAAGATGATGTGGTTAGTTTCCCAGCAGTGAAATTGAGCAGGGAGGTCAGGAAGGGGGCAAAAAGATAGAAAGCAGAAACAATTCAAAGGCAAAACATCTCTAGGACTTAGTAGATAAAGAAAATAGGTAAGTCATAGTTGACTCCAACTTTTTAGGACTGAGTGATAACTGACTGATGTTTCTCTTTCTTTTTTCCTCCCTTCCCCTCTCTCTAAAAATAATAAATAAAATATCTTAAAAAAAAAAAAAGACCAAGTGATCGAAGAATGCCAGTACTGTTAACAGAGATGGGAAAGTGGAGAGAGAAAGCTAGATTTGAAGGAGGGGGCTGAAAATATGTTGGATCTGAGGAGATGATGGGACAGAGAAGGGGACAATTCAGTAGGCAAGTAGGTGATTATAAGGCTTAGCTTAGATGAGATGAAAGCAGCTAGAGACATGTACACAGTCCACACTGTCATTATAGATATGATAGCTGAAATCCTGGTAATAAGGCCCTGAGAGGGTCTGTAACAATGCTCAAACTGTAACCTACCTACAGTTTCACCTGGGGACCTTGTTAACATGGAGATGTGATTTTTGGCTTCCTCCCATGCTGTGCTGGTGCTGGTGGTTCAAGGGAATAGTAGGAATGTAATAAGAGCAGGGAGCCAGTGTATGTGGTTTGGAGTTAGTAGTTGGGAGGAAAACAGAAGAGCCAAGGAAGAAAAAGAAATGATTCAAAGAGTCATGTACCTTGTCTTTTCCAGGCCCTTTGGAGAATACCTATCGTGATTTCTGGCTCATGGTATGGGAGCAAAAAGTTTTGGTGATTGTCATGACCACTCGGTGAGTTCATACCTTTTCTTTCCACCTCTCTCTGCCCCTACCCTAACGAGTATAAGTGATTCAAAAGAGGAATTTATCTCTTAGAAACAATGAGAATTACAAAAGCCATGGCCTTGAGTTTGAGATGTTGGGTTCTTTGGCTTACCCAAAGATAATACAGGGTGTGGTATAGTTTGATAGATCTAACTTCTCAAAGCTTTAATCCGTGGCTCTGGTGACCCTGTGCCAGTCGCAGCCTATTCTGAGGTCCTTGCCTTATCCGCTGAAGGAAGTATTGTGAAACAGGGGGCAATTCACGTTTCATCTGATCCATGCTTCCAAAGGGCAGCTGTCTTCCTGGCTTCTGAATTACCAGTTCCCCTTTGCTCTCCCTTTCCCTGCTACCTTGACCATTTTCTGCTTATTTAGGCTGGAAGCTCTTGATGAAAAGAATATTATTGAAATTTTGGTCCACATATCTGCCAAAACTTCAGGAATTACTATTTCATTAGTATTACCATTACCACTATTTCAGATGAGAACAAAATTTAATTACAGTGTTAGCTCATTTCCCTTTTTCATGGCACTGTTACAACAGCCTTTGATTTGGAGAGGAGGTCATGGAAAAAGCATCACCTTGGAGTACTTTGGAGCCACTGAAGTGCAGTGGAGGTAGACTTCAGGCCTTTACAAAAACTTCCTGCTGGCATCCTGGGTGCTGTGCCTTTCTTATTCTTCTATCATCCAAGGGCCCCTCATTGGGGAAGAAAATGAACAGTGGCTGAGATACAAGGCAGACAGTTCCATCTGGCCCACCACATTTTCTCTACTGTCTTTCTTTGCCCACTCAGTATTTATCCCAGATATGTGAAGAGTGCCAAGAGGTATGAGGGAAGGGGCCAAATGATATGGTAGGTACTCAGTAAATGTCTGCTAAATGAGTACATGCAGAAACTTGCACTGTTATATCCATTTAGAATGAAGGTTTTCTTCCTTTACTGCCACAAGGCAAGGGTATAAGTTAGAAGCAGTGCAAGAGATGGCACTTCTGCCTGGGGTATAGCAGGTGCTGACTAGGTCACGGTTAATGCTCTGCAGAGGAAGGATGGAAGGCTTACTTTGTTCTGTGTGTCTTCAGCTTTGAGGAGGGCGGCAGGAGAAAGTGTGGCCAGTACTGGCCTTTAGAAAAAGACTCTCGGATCCGATTTGGCTTCCTCACAGTGACCAACCTAGGCGTGGAGAACATGAGCCATTATAAGAAAACAACGCTAGAAATTCATAACACAGAGGTAAATCTGGGTTTCTGTTTTCTCACTTTTTTGAAGTTAAGGGAGAACTTTTACTGTAAAGAAAGTCTCTGAAAGGAATAGGCAAGATTCCAGGGGGCTTATAAGTTACTTCCATTTTTCTGGGAATAAGATCAGGATATTCATTTCAGAGCCAATATAACTACATTGTCTTAACCCAACAGGGGCATTATTTAGGGATGAAACTTAGAAGAAATCTGGATCCTACAAATAGGAACTCTGTCCCTTCCAAATATTAAACCTTTCCTTTGGGTTTGTAAAGAAGCAGTTGTGGAGAAAGTTGAGGGTGGTAGGCAGGAATCTTGGTGGTAGGGATCCCAGGGCATCGAGAACCGGAAAAACCAAAGGTAGTCAGGGCAAACATAAGTGACCTCACTAACTTCTGCTTCTTTTTCTATCCAAGGAGCGGCAGAAACGCCAGGTGACTCACTTTCAGTTCCTGAGCTGGCCAGATTATGGTGTCCCCTCTTCAGCAGGTTCCCTCATTGACTTTTTGAGAGCGGTCAGGAGCCAGCAGAGGCTGGCTGTGAGCAGCATGGCAGCAGATTCCAAAGGGCAGTGCCCTGAGCCACCCATTGTGGTCCACTGCAGTGCAGGCATTGGCAGGACAGGTAATGATGCACCTGATGCAGCTCTCAGAGCCTCTGGAGGCAGTAAGGGAGGGGGGAGGAATAACCAAGCTCTTTACTGCCAGATTGAGAGATTTTGGTCCATTGGTGGTGAATTGCTGTTCTTCCTAAGTGTCCTTTTGGTAACCCTAGTGCTGTGTGTCCAGAATATACACTTCACAAGACAAGTCTTCTGGGGTTGATGCTTTATACATCCCATTGGCGTGATCATGTTCTGACCCCATCATTGTCACCTGGGTGTCCAGAGAGCTCAGCTGGGCTGTTGCTTCATTCCCATCCCCTCCCCTCCTCACTTTCTTCTTTGTTGGAGAAGATGAAGACTTTCTGGATCCACTTTACCCTTAAGGGGATGTGCATTGCAGGGACTGCTGGCATTTCTCATCAGAGATCCTTTTGGGAGAAGGTCAAAAAGAGCATTAGGCGTCTGGGGAGAAGTTGTAGAGTCTGAAAATTAAAGCCCAGATGTGAGAGTGCTGTTCTGTCTGGGATTTTACTTTCCCACCTGTTTTTCCTATTACCTCCATGTGAATTACAAGAGGCCTTCCCATTTCTCTGGTTTCCAACACTCAACTCTGCCCTCCTCCTTGAGTCCTTTCAGGCCTGAGGACCCTTGCCTTTAAATTAAGTCATCCAGTACTGCCTGGGTTATTTAGTAGAAGGATGGGGAGAGGAGAGGTGGACTAGGTATGACTACTTCCTTTTTCCCTTCAGGTACCTTCTGTTCACTGGACATCTGCCTGGCACAGCTGGAAGAGCTTGGTACCCTTAATGTGTTCCAGACAGTATCCCGCATGAGGACCCAGAGAGCCTTCAGCATCCAGACCCCTGAACAGTACTATTTTTGCTACAGGGCAATCCTCGAGTTCGCAGAAAGGGAGGGCATGGTGCCATCCAGCCACAACCTCCTGGCCATGGAGGGTCAGTAACTGTCCCATGAGTCTCCTACCTGCTGGCCAGCCTTCTTCCTTAAACTGTCCCAGACACCGCTGAGTCTGTAGGTTGCCATCATTTACACTGAAGCCATGGACCAACCTCTTTCTTGTGTCTCCTGGTGCACGCAAGGCAGCAAGCCCTTTGGCGAGATAGATATGATGAAATTGTTATTAGAAAGGGCCAGCAACAGTGTGTTCTTCAGTCCTAGCAACTGCCATTGAACTGTGCCTTATTATAACCAAATTGTGGCTATTGATTTTTGCCAGGGGCTCCAAGCAAGGTAAGTGGGAAAGGAAGGTCCCTACCCTCTTTCCCAATACCTTCTTCTGGAGGCCTCTTTCCCATCCCTTCCCTTTGCTAGGATTTGATTGGGAGGTTTGGTGAGTATCCACCTTCCTTCCCAGAAAGCTTGACCAAGTTATATATTCTAGAGAACATCCCGAGTGCCAAGCACGTTTATACCTAGAGCGTGTATTCCAGTCTTTTCTGTTATTCTGTGTGTGCGCGTGTGTGTATGTACACTTATGTGTATGGGTCCATATGTATGTGTGTATATAATATATTACTGTATGTGATAATATGGTCGTATTCTATAAATACATATACACAGAGTTACTCCTTTGTAGAAGTTCCTGGGGCTCCGTGTTGTATTTCAGGTCTTGTGGCTTCTTGTACCCTGCTGTTTATCCTGGACTAGCTGGGTTTGGGGATTATGTCTCCTATTGTCAAATGACAGTGGTGGAAGAGGACACAGGCACATCCACTTTCTATGTTCCTACTACAGGCCTTCATCCTTACATCATGACTTATCTCTCTGCAGGATGCTACCTGTTGGAGCCAAGAATACTGGTTTGTGGTGACACTGGTTTAATTCAGCATTGATTACTCCTAGCTAATGATTATTCTCCATTTACTTCGTTGATTTTGGTAATACACCTCCACTGTGATTTCAGACCCTCTCTTTCCTCTTCCTGTCCCTCAGGGATTGGAGCCTTGGAGTAGAGATGAACTGACTGAGCAGCCAGAGGCAAGAGCAATTGGTACAGTGCCTTAGAAGGAAAGAGAAGGATCCCAAGTATGAGAAAGGAAACTACTATGAGAATCCTTCCCTGGGAGAATGAGCTTGGGGCCCTTTTCTTTTCCCAAAAGGTTCCATTCCTTAGGCAGCTTGGCCCTATCTACTCAGATGCCCATCTTTTTCTGCCTAGTAGCCTGCCAAACCTTGGAGCTCAAGCTGGATGGATTTTGTGTCAATAAAAAGTTTAACTCCTGGCTGGGTGAGGCAGTACCCTGCAGTTTCTATCCCTGCACCCCTCTTTCACTCAACCTGCTCCTGTCTGCTGTCAGCCTACCCAGCCTGATGTACCAGGAATGGAATTGAGTCCCTAGCACTCTATATTCCCAAGAAAATCCAAGGAACCCCTAAACCTTCCCCCATCATAGATGAGGTTGGCAGCTCATCAGACCTCAATAATTTTATACTGTAATAAGCTCTTGAATGTATATGTTCTTATTTTTACAGTCTTTTCATTTTGTATTTAATGTCAATTGACTGAATCAGATTCAGAAAATAATTGTAAATGTTCATTTTCAATATCTCACACCAATAGTTTTGTATTTACATATAAATATACTGACATGATCAAACCCTTTTAGCTTCATCAATTTAGTAGCATTGTGGGGCTGGAAAAGTAAAGAGGGAGTCTAAGAGCTGGTCTGGAAGGGATGTGGACACAGGGAGGGACCCAGGTCTTTAGTACCTGAGACTTTCCGGTTTGAAAGCCGTCTGCCTTGCCTGTAGGCGATGACCTTAGCTCTGGGCAGAAATAGGGAATCAGCACCAGTTGAGTGCTTATGGGGTGCCAATTTCGATGCTTGGTGCTTCCCCCCTGCCCATTATCTTATTCAAACCTTACAATACTCCAATGAGAGGTTATTCTCCCTTTACTCTATTTCGATAAAGATGAGAGAGGTAAGGTCCAGAGGGCTATAGTGATTTGCCCTCTAGTGAACTAGAGCTGAAGTTGGTCTGCTTACAAAGCCTTTGGCCTCTTCACTGCATTGCTCTCTCAAAGATCAAGACAGTGTTTTGTCTTTTGAAACTGCAGGGATTTTTTTAATAGCTCTCTTTCAGAGTACAAGTGGTTCTTAAAATTCCAGGTAATTGATCTTGAGCTGATGTTGAATGTAGTAGACTAGAAGGGTGACAGAGCTGGTGACTTGATTCTCCTATATAGGACCTCCTTGTGTAGGGTCTTTACGTCAGCAGAGTACCAAAGGGGCCATTCTTCCAGGGACACTCCATTCCTCTGAGTACAGGGGTGTTTGTGGGAGGATCTTAAGTCATTTGCATATCTCTCTTAGAATGGAACCAGAAGCTTTATCCACATAGGACTACTCCCCATGCCATATAGCTATTCCCTGTTGACAGACTGCCTAATTGGGACAATTCTGGCCTGGAGTATGTGCAAATATTGGGGAGTTCTTAATAAAAGTGATAGCAGTTAGCATTTACTGGATGCTTAACTAGCCAAGTACTGTTTAAAATGCTTTCTAAGTATTACTTCATTCACCCTCAAAACAACCTTTTGAGGTAGGTATTGATAGACGAAAAAACAGTGAAGCATAGGAAAATTAATCTGGCACTAAGAACCTGGACCATCTGGTTCCAAAGTACCTGCTGTTAATGTTAACTCTTACACTAGGTTCCCTCTAAGGATTCATCTCCTGATCTGTCAACAAATTTTTCCTGAGTTTCTGACGTAAGAGTTGAAGTGTAGAAAAAATTAAGCCAGTCCTTTCCCCTGAGTTATCCTTTATTCCCTTGGGGCAAGCAGGCAATACTATGATGAACAGAGATACCTGAAATCTGGAAGATCAGAGATGGTAGGGTTTTGGTGAAATGTGTAGGAAACAGGACTAAATTCTAGAGGAGGTAAACTTGAACTGTCATTTATTTGAAGAAGCTGTAACCCACTGCTCTGTAAATTCAGGAGCTATGCATAAGCTTTCTGAACATCTGATGGTTGGCAAGGTTATCATTTGCAAGAGCTCTATAAAGATGCAGGTTCCTGGGTCCTGCCCTATATGTGATTAAATTAGTGACAGAATGCGCCAGGTTTTGGAAGCACTGCCTTTTTCCATGTCTCTGACTTTGAGGAAAATTAGCAAATTGCTGTCTTCCAAATCTGAGAGAAAGGGAACCATTGCCATAGGTTGCCTGTAGCTTTTACCATTGGGAAGATAATTGATACTCAGTGTTAAAGGAGGTAAAGAAAGAGGAAGACATAGAAGCCCCGAATTTGTTCGGGAAGTCAAGGCTTTCACAGGAGATTTGGTGAACAAAGCAAGAAAGAACCCACAATCAAATGCTGGACTGTACAGTTGAGAACATAAGATGAAAATGTGTTCAGGGGAGAGTGCATCATGGGCTAAATCAGGCTTCTATCTCTAATTTGATTGCTGTTTTTCACCCAGCTTACAGTCCCTATACAACTGGTCCCTTCACCTGCCCACCCGTGTCAGCTAGGAGGCCTGCTATTATCAGTCTCCATATCACTGTTTGCAGATAGATGACAGAATTGGACTGGTTCTTGGGAAGCTGGGCTATTTTAGCATTGTAGCTTGAGGAAGATGGTACCCCTGCCCTTAAAGGCTTCTCATCTTTAGGAACAACCAGACACACATATGGAAACTCACAAATCAGATCTGGAGGAAGATGGGCCAGATAGAAAAGTTTTCGTAGAGGGACTGAACTCTTTGGTAATTTTGAGATCTCACCACTCAAGTCCTAGCTTTCTTTTATAAAATAAGGGGCCACATTAGATGATCCTGCTACAGGCCCTCCAAAGTGTGAATGTCTGTAAAGGAACCATCAGGACCTTCTCCAGGTGGGTCAGCTCCCACTTCCCTATATTCCCTACCCACTTGGAAAACAGGTCAAGTATCCCCTGTAACCCACAGACAACTCAGCTTTTGTGCTGCTCCATGTAGGGTAGATAAGGTGACTCAGAGTCAAGGAATGAACCAACTAAGGACCCAGAGCCCCCAGCCAAGGTCATAAATTTGTCTCAGGTCTTGTTCAGTACCCACTCACCACTGTTAGCTTACCAAGGGCAAGAACTAAAACTCCCACCAGCTATAGAACCAGATTTTTTCTTGGGGTGTCTGCTCTGTAGTTACCATCACAAAATAGTCCTGAAGATTGTTTCCAACTACACTGCAAACCACTGAGAAGACTGGGTCTTCACAAACAGAAATCCAGCACTCAAACCTGTTGCAGTGTTTGATTTCGCTCTGCCTGCCACCACAGCTTTTATAAAATCCTTTCTTCTGTTTAATCTACATGCTGCAATCTTTTTAAAGATTTTATTTTTAGAGAGAGGGGAAGGGAGGGAGAAAGCGGGAGAGAAACACTGATGGGTTGCCTTCCTTATGCACCCTGACCAGGGACAAAACCCACACCCTAGGCATGTCCCCAGATCAGGAATTGAACCATCAGCCTTTTGTTTTGCAGGATAACACCCAGCCAATTGAGCCACCCAGTCAGGGCTACGTGCTGTGGTCGTATATACTCATTTTTTTTCCTGCAAAGGCCAACATGGACTGGGAGCAGTGATTTCTTTTCGGTACTTTAGGGTGCTGTGTTCCTGACAGGATGGAGATGAAGATGAAAGTAGGAAAGCAAGACAGTGAGATGTAGAGAAAAGATGGTCAAAGAGTACACAGTGCCCCTCCCCCACTCCACGTTCACGTCCTTCTACTCCTCCCCTGCATCAGAACCTGGCCACTTGTCTAATTAATGTAGTTGTACAAACCTCATGACCAACCAGATGTGCAGCTGAGCCTAGGTCAGCCAGTTTATCCTGTAGGGTCTCTTACTTCCTTGACCTTGAATGAATACCTGTTCTGTGGCCAGCAGCCAGTGGACTTCTGAGGTCTGATGTTCAAGCTGGGCTGGATATGTGAATTGGGGACTTAGTTTAGATGGAAGTTAGGATCCTTCGAAGTGTGTGAGAACAGAAGAGTGAGGAGAGAAATAAGAGAGGAGACCCTTAGGAGCCACCATCACTTAGGGGAGGATGAAGAAAAGCCTGTGAAAGATTTTGATTAATTGAGGTAACCAAGGACAAGCCCAGGCTGTTTTCTCACAGACTAGTGAGTGGTGGGGAGTGGCTGGGATGAGTGAACAGGATTCAGAAATGTAGTTTTACCAGTCTTTTGGTGGGGGGTAGAGGGTGGCTAACAGGGCAGAGACATGAATGGAAAGTGGAGGAATGGAGACAGCAGTGCAAGCTGTCTCTGCTTCAACCAAAACAAGGCCCACCTTTCTTTCACATATTAGGCCTCTGATTAAGATTTCATTTGAACAAAGGAAACTACTGTTTTAAAAAATGATTAAAAAAATTTTTAAGATAAAGCTCTGGCTGTGTGGCTCATTTGGCTAGAGTGCAGTTCTGTGAACCAAAAGGTTGCTGGTTCGATTCCCAGTCAGGGCACATGCCTAGGTTGTGGATTTGATTCCTGTATGGTGGCAATTGGTCAATGTTTCTCATATCAGTGTCTCACTCTCGCTCTCCGTCTCCCTCCCTTTTCTCTCTAAAATCAATACATAAACTTTTTTAAAAAGATTAAAAAAATACAACTGATACACAAAAGGAAGCAGTTTCAAAACAAGGTAACCTTACCTATTTTCTAGATTTGGGCTGGGAATCACCCAGAGGGATAAATTAATGCTTAGTGATGGGAAGGCATTTCAAGGTGGTGTATAGTAGTTTTGACACCGTCAGTGTTAAGGAATCTTAATACTTGAAAGATTTCAAGCCTCCAGAGCCACCCAGAAGTCAGAAGTATGGAATATGTACATCCTATACCAACTGGTTTCCAGAGAAATGGAGTTTCTTCACACAGTGGGATTGTTGGATCTTTAGGGCCTGTCCTGGCCTCTTCTCAGACTGCAGCATCAGGGTGGGACTTTGCATTTGAATGGCTAGGAGAAGCAGGAGTAGCAATTAAAGTCTGAGAACACTTGACTAAATGTTAGGCATACTTTGTTTTTAATCTCACAGATCCCTGTAGTAGGTATTCTTATTCTTAGTTTACAGATAAGAGTAAAAAAGATAAATGACCTGTCAAGGACATCCAGCTAGGTAGTGGCTAAACTGGGATTCTGAACAATAGCTTGAGCTTTTCCTCTGAAACCTGTAGGGTGCTATGGATTGGGGTGGGGAGCGAGCCTCAGATGCCCCTCATTTGGATATTCCCAAACTGGCAATGATTGGTCTACAGCTGGCAGAGGTTCTGTCAGCAGGGCACTGGCACTGACATCTTTTTGACAAAGTTGCAAATGGAGATGGGGTCCAGATGCTTGATGGTCTTGAACAAAGAATTGAACAGACCACACAAACAAAGATAAGGAAAGCAGGCGAGAGAAAGCAAGCAGGTGAGAGAAAGTTCCTGGCATCATAATTGATAAGTCCTCTGAAAAACAGGAGGAAGCCTAAAACCAGGAACACACACCAGAGCCAGTACTGACCATCAAAATATCCAGGGAAGTAAGTGGATAACCTGAAAATCAGGATGCACTTAATTAGAGACCAACTCCTGAAATAGCCATCTACCTTCCTGTAGCTAAAATGGTCAGACAGAAAGACAGGAAAAACCCAATCCAGTTAAAGAGGAATGCCATGATCTGTTGTATTTACAG